TGTAATAATGCCAGTGCCTTGAGAGTTCTGCGTGAGATTTCAAAGTGCCTTTGCTTATAGTGAAAAAGTCTGACTAAGCCCTTGAGACTTCTTTTTCCTTCACAAAATACCTGACTACCCTGTAGCTCTTCTGTGTTCTTTAGTCCCACGTACAAATAGCTCTAGACGTGCTTAAACACACCAAGGTCCAGCAATATTTAAATGACTACAGGAACTTGAACAGCATGGCTAGGCTGCAGTTGGTCATCCTGCTTTTTCCTATGACAGGAGAAGCCCAAATTTTAATATGTGAATTTAAAATTCAAATTAGTGCAAATGCTCTTTCATTCAAAGTTATTGTGCCTGTAATTCCCTAAGTAATCAAATGAGGTAGAAGACAAATACAGGAGGGCGCCGACCAACATCAATTTGATTCAGTAGACATGCAAAACATATGGATTATTTACAGTCAGTGCAGAAGTTCTCATGGCATCTTTTCACATTGTGAGTATTCTCCTGGATGGAAGCTAAAAAGAGGTTGTGTTGTTTGTAGCCAAGTCCACAGAAAACCAGCTGCAGAGTATTCAGAGGAACCCAGAACTGCACTTCAGCACTTATTTTTTACTAATTAGGGAATATTCTTTTATTAGTGGTAAACCTAGGAGCCCAGGAGCTTCAGAAAGTTCCTGTACTGAAAGCTGCTGAAAATGGAAGCCACTGTATCCGCATGCAAATAAGGAGAGAGAGAGTCTCTTAATGAATTTGGATTGATCAAGTAAAGGGCTGGAAAGCTGTGGGACCTTTGGGATCTGGAAGGGTATATACTTTCTTATGCGATACAAAATGAAGCAGAGACCTGATTAGTAAATTCCTCCAACCTATTTTTATTTAAAATTCAGGCAGAATAGAAATGGGATGCAGGAGCTGAACTATCCCAGTTCAATTAGCACAAAAAGGCGAGGAGCCAAGGTTTTCCTCACCAAGGTCTTTAGGGGCGATTCTCAGGTTTCCGCTTTCCAGCATAGCCAGATGTATTCTCCGCACAAGGCCCAGAGTTGTAATTTTTAGCTCATAGTTGAATACTGGTCTGCGTCTCTACTTCTTCTCCAAACATACTTTATCTTTCCTTTGTGTGATTCGCTGCATGTATTTGCAGAATCTCTGCAGATTTGGGTGTCTCCACACGCTAGGAGAACTGCGTGGAGCTCCATGAATAATGAATATTTTGGTTCAGTGGATGAGCCAAATGATTGAGGAAAAATGTGATTTGGGTAGACTGGAAATGAAAACATGTTTTGCTTAACGTTCAGGTAATTTAACCCATTTTTTTTCTTCTCCCATCAGTTAAAAAATGACGGATTTGTTTCAGAAAAACGAAACAAAAAACCACATTTGAATGTGAAAGCAACATTTATGTAAATTTTGCTGACCCTTCCCTCTTTCTTTTTGGCCAACTTGTATCCTTCCTAAAAGATGCTTTTCCAGTTGCTGGAAGTTCATTTAAAAATAAAGAATTGCTGCTGTGAAATGGTGCTGACAGTGCTTTAGATACTAGCAACAACATACAATCTGGACGTGTTCAGAAGAACTGGTAGTGAGAAGAATTGGTCCTGGGAGATCTAGACCTAGCAGAAGTTCAAGCTGTGGCTATCCTCACCATGCACTACAGCCTGCCAAGAAAACTGTACTGTTACCATTGGCAAACTAGAAGCATTCATGAAGAGGGAAACTCCATTCCTCCACAGGATGGCATTAGGCACGCTCTGAATTTCAGTCTCACTCCCTGTTTGGGACACTGGGTGGAAATGATGTGAGAGATTGGCCAAGCCTTCACCCAGAGTTTCCCCAGTATACAAATGCTGTCTTCCATTATGTAAACATTACTTGAACCTGGTATACAGGCATTAAACCAAGCTGTGTTTAAACAGATCGTAACTGAGCTGCCTCAATTTGTAAAGGACTTTGACTTTGATCTAGTTCTGACCCAGCCCACAGTACTGCTCTGCATTTCTCCTAGGAGTGTGTTGTTCAGCTTGAAGTCCTCATGGGAGTACTTGGACGATTTCTTCCAAGCTTTTCACCTCACCTTACATTGGAGGGCCATATTTTTTCTTACTAAGTCTTGGTTTTAATTCAGACTTCCATGGAAATCACAGAAATTTTGTCTGGCTATCAATAAAGTGTTTCGTCTCAACTGTTAAAAACTCCTTATGTTAATCTGAGTAGCTTTGATATAGCCTAGCACATTGGGTAGGCTCTCACAAGTCAGTGTGGGATGCAATGATTAAATTAGGCATCTGAATGTACTTGGAATAGATCCGCAGCACAGAACCTCAGAGACCTCACTTCAGATGGAAAAAATGGAGAATTTAAGCCTTTACTCTGGGAGTATTCGTTTATTACACATCTATCATGTAGGTAGGTGCAAATCAGGTGCCTAACTCAGATGAATATGAAATCACCTTCATTGATGTGAGTGAACTGTTCTTAAAATGGTTCTCTGTCTACTGTAAATTACTTTCTATTTTGCTTACACAAGAACTGTAGAAACTGGATTAACGCTCAGAAGGGTCATAAGATCCTATAATATAACCACTTTTAAATACACATACAGACTTTCAGAGTAGTATGAACCTTGATGTTTTTTCAATGAGAACTGTAACAGCCAAACACACACGATACATACTTCCAGGGGAAGTCAAAAGAGACACATGGAGATGTTCCTAGTCTAGCTGTAGTGCTGCAAACTTGATCTGCAGACATTTCTTCCAGCCTTATTTTTGTTTTCCATGAAAAATCAGCCCCAAAATCACATACTTTGGTTAGTTCTCTAGCTAGTGCAGGAAACTATAAACGTAGATGTATGATATTGAGTGTATGTTGTTTGCAATATACGAACACAACTGACTGTCCTGCTGAAGCAGATGCTTTGTAGTTATTGTAATGAGTGGGCCAAACCTGGCAGGAGCCACCTGATTTTGACCAGGTCAGATGGTGAATTCTAAAAGCACTACTCTTCCATTTGAGGTTGTTGCTTTTTTTCCTACAAGGAGCATTCCAGCTACCTTCATAACCTGTGTGTCTTGGCATTAAAACAGGTACCTTTAAACACTAAATAAGCAGACAGCATGGTCTTCTGAGTTTGCAGATTTAAAGCTTGAAGGTCACTCATATCCCCTCATGGAGGGTCCTTCCCTCATGAGACATTATTTTGAGCCTCACAGTGGTTGACACTATAGCAGCAAAAGCATTTCTACTTTCAAAATTTTACTAAGCCTTTATTTCTTCATCTTTATGTATGGAAAACTACAGGCCAGACTGACACACTGGAAGCAACAGCTGGCAAAGATGCAAAGGGTAATTGAAACAGCTTTTAAAAAAGTTTAGAGAATACGTAGAGCATTCTCCCTGGAGAATAAGCTGAACCATGATACTGCTCGTGGGAAACTACAAGGATGAGTTTTAAGAACGCCCACAGAAGAGGCATTTTTCAGCAGCTTCATTGCAAATTTTGTAATGTGTGAGAAAGGAACCATGTATTTCTCATCTGAAACAGGAAAAGTGACTGACGTGGGTGATGATGCCAAATGACAATGCAACTAATTCTTTTTAAAAAAGGTAATATGTGGTTTTGGTTTTGCAGTTGCTGTCTACAAATAGATTGCATGATTTTCATCAATTTATGCCCAAGGTATATCTACTTAAGTCCATCGTTTCTTAATGTGTGAAAACATTATTTATAGACATGTTTTTGGGTTTTTCCAATTCACACAGAGGAGAATTAATAACTCATGGCTCAGAACTGCTTGGTGAACTGTCACATTTTCATGGATAAGACCAGAAAACAGAATGTGTTAAGACTCTGTAGCAGTTATCGCAGAATCACAGAATGGCCAGGGTTGGAAGGGACCTCAAGGATCATGAATCTCCAAGCCCCCTGTCAGATGCAGGGCCACCAACCTGCACACTTAATACTAGACCAGGCTGCCCAGAGTCCCATCCAACCTGGCCTTGAACACCTCCAGGGACGGCGCATCCACAACCTCTCTGGGCAGCTGTTCCAGCACCAGTTATGTATGCATGGAAGAAGAGAGGACATGTATGCAGAGTGTCTGCCTCCATCCCACTCTTTTCCTAGCACAATCCCTTAGCTTGCTTCCCATACTCAGGTTCTCTTTTTGTGCCAGGTATCTGAGAATGTGAAGGCACTATGAGCATAAAGGTTATCTGAAAACGTGCATTATCCAAGGGCTGGGAGTTAATCAGGATGTACTGGATAACTCTGGGCTTACTCTCTAGCATTTGCACTTTTGAAGAGGATTGGCTCATACTGATGATACTGGATAGCTAACAGTGTATAATCTAGTTGCAAATGTTGAAGTAAAAACTAATTTAGCCAGATGACATTGGTGCTAGATTACAAATCTTCTCTGGAGCAGATCTAGAATATCTTCCTTCTGCTTTTATGTCTTACCATGCAATCATACATCATTTCTACTTGTTACTATTCTACTTGCTGAATTCCAACCAAAATCAACCACGGTTCCTCAAAGTAAGGATAAACTGATCTGGCGAGACTCAAGGGCAGCACCCTCTTCCTGCAGAATTCACCTGGTTGAAGCCACTCAAATTACACAGGGCTGCATGAAACTTGGCAGGAGCCAGTTCTAACAACCAACTGTCAAAAGACAACATGCTTAGTGAAGGAAAACAAATGGCTGGATTATTTATAGATTACTTACATTGCATATGTTGTGCAAATATATCAAAAATGAAATCTGCAGCTGATGATTAAACTGGAGGATAAGTGAGCATCATCAGCTGTAGCTATCCTGAGCACATGTTGTTATTTGTTCTGGCCATAGTGATATTACAGCTTTCTGGGGAACAGCACCAGGGTCAAGAATGTTTCTAGAAGTGGAAAATACACTTGAAGTGCCCTTGGTTAGCTCTGTGTCTATTTTGGCCAAGTGCTGCTATTTGCTTTCTTTGTAATTTTTCTCATCTTTTGTTTTCCCCAGCAGAGATGATGGTGACAAGAACAAGCAGCTGCCAGTCAGACAGCAGTGGGTTCATGGAGGAGCTGCCAGAATCTTTAGTACTGCAAGTAAGAAATCAACAATATTAGTCAGTGGGTCTATGAAAACTCTGTAACCTTAGCACAAATAACAAAATGTAATAATTAAAAATAAAAATCATGGAGTCGTGAAAGCTTCATGAACACAAATTCATCCTCCTAGAGAACCTCAGAAGGCAAGAAGTATTCTCAGAGTTTTATCCAACTCTTCTACCACACTAATGCATGGTTAGATAAGAAATGAGACAATAGCTTTTGATTATGTGGTTTGCTGGTATTTAAAGATGTGTTTAAAGAGGCTTTACGTGCGGAGATGTCCAGGACAAAATGATGATGGGCAAATGCTTGTGATAGCAAAATTCCAATATTTCAATTCCTCTTTTATATATTTTTTTCTTCTGTATATTTTTCTGCTGTTTTTCTTTTTTTTTCTTTTTTCTTTTTTTTTTTCTTTTTTTCCCCTTCAGAATGTACCTTTGTCAGGAAAGAGGAATATTTTTTCTGATCTCTATAACCAACGAACAGCTCTGTCACACACGACAGAGTTTCCTCTGTTAAATCAAGATTTCCATCAAAATCAAGATGATCGTGTTGGTGAAGTCTTCATCAGAGCTTGTGAAAGCATCGAGACGGTATCTAGACCAACAAAAGCATGCAGAGACCAGGGAGAAGAGATTTCCCTTCTGCTGACTGCGGAAAATGGCAAGCATCAGTCCTGTAATGCTGAGCTGCAGAGTTCTGTCCAAGACAGAGTATGTGGCATGGAAGAGTATAAAACTGAAAGACAGCATCTTGAAAAAGAGGAGTGCACAGAAGAGAATACTCCTTTCGAGGGTGATACTCAAGATGAAGGAGATCTGGTCTCATCAAAATTTCATTGTCAGCTTAATTTCAGTACAGGACATAAAAATATGAATGCAGCCCTCACTGAACTGAGTGATACAAACCCTGAGAGCAAGCTCGGAGGTGATGATGAAAGTGAGAGAGGCCTGATGGAAAACGGCAGTGAAGTCACATGTCACAGAAATGCCCACACCGACTGTACAGAATGTGGTGAAGAACTGTGGTGGGCTGTGGAAGAGTTCGTCAGAAATGGTGCCATGCTTGCAGCAAATGAGGTTACAAACAGGCAGAAGTTTTGTAAAATGGGTGCTGATGTGAAAAAAATAAGATGCTTCTCTAGAAGGGGAGTCCCAGAAACTCTGTGTAAGGGCTGTGCCGCTCCAAGCTGCTCTTCACAAGTGTCTCACAGGCCTCCTCTGTGCCGAGCAGGAGCACCAGGGTTAAGTTCACCCAACGAGCAAGAGATAGGGGGCACAAGGGAAATGTTAGGCACTAACAAACCAGAACTAGGGGACTCTGTCCAAAACTGTGAAATGACTCGTACTCCTCTGACATCTGTTACTGTTCAGATGCCTTCAGGCCTGGAACTTACTTCAAGGGTGAAGTGCACTAGGCAAAATGTTCCTTGCACTGAAAGCCTTGCTAGGGATGACCATGTGGACTCGTCTAAGGTGTCAGCACACTGCTCTGAGGGTGCTAGTCCCATATGGTCAGACCCAGGGGCTTCAGAGGACGGTGTGAAGCAGACCACTGACACCCCCAGCCAAACTGGAGAAAAGAGGAAGACCAGGCAGCTGCCTGTGCTTTGCCCACCCCATCGCCACCTGACAAAATCAGCCTCCCTTGACACCGTGCTCTCTGGAAAATACAAATACAGGCCACACCACTGCAGTGAAACCTGCAGCAGTCCCTGCTGCCACTACTGCTGCTGCCATGGTTGTTGCTGCTGCTGCTTACGGACGTGTCCTGTGGCTGTTTCTCTCCATAGCCCCATGGGTTGCTGCTCAAACCAGGCTGCCAACAAGCTGAAGCTCCTGAGGACACTGACGTTTCTGCAGGAAAACGCAATGCAAAATCTTCCTCTGGTGAGTAGATTTCTTCAAATAATTGTGCACAACGACAGCTGACACGCTCATGTGCCATGAGCACAAGTTGCCTTTCCCTTTCCTCGCCTCTCATGCTTGTTTTTTTAGTGAGACAAATACTGGGAATATAACCTGAGTCAAGGAAGGAAGCATTTCTTTCTAAACAAAAGTGGCAAACACCTGCAGTTTTGTGGGACTGCTTATTTTTGTAATGTTCAGTTCAGTCTCAAAATGGTTGCTGTAAACTGAATGATAATTTACAGTTTAAATGAAGAGCTGAGATAAGATCTGGTTTACAGCATGGGGCTCAGTGAGTTTGAATGATTTCCAGTGAATCAGCTGAGTTACAGTAGCTGAGTAGCTTTCTGGACTGCAGAAAATACAAAGTGAAATCCCCTTTTACTGGGAGCTACCTTAAGTTCTATTGCATAGTGTTTGCTAAATACAAACCGTGCGTACCCAGATACATCCATCAGCCAGACTGTTTTAAATCAAAGTGAATGGCAACTTCTCAGGGCTTCAAGGCATTTCATCATGGGAGAGTAGGAAGCTTCCATGAAATCTAGAATTGTGTTAAGACAACCTTCTGCAATAAAAAATGCAGATTTTTATTTCTTTGGTCCAAATTCCTGTGAGTTCCCAAAAACTGTGAAAGGCTCAGGGTGTGTTGAGGAAGAAGGGAACTGGGAAAGGCTTATGTCCTGAGAAAAATGTGGAAAGGAGCAGCGCACATCCCTGCTAATTTGCAGGAGTTTCTATTTTCACTCTTTTTTTTTACACGTCATAAGGTTATGAGACTTGAACTGTTGTACAAATTGAGGAAGAAAATGTTTACATAAAAGTCTGAAAAAGTGAAACTTTTTTTTTTTTCCTGCAATATCACTGAATGTATACATCTGCAGTGTCCTGTCTTTGAACAGTATAGGGAAAAGCATGCATTTTGTTAGCTACCTTGCTGTTGCCACACGATGGCAGTGAGTCAGTACCTTATGGTGGATGGGGAAGACCTCTCATTGACTACTGTTCTGTCACTCTCCTAGTGGGGGCTAGTGGTGTTTTTTCTTACGTAGTCTAAGTAGTTTAGGGAATGTGGAAAGAACAAACTTGCCCAACATCCATTCTTAGGGATATGGTTCCACATCCCAGTCACCATGCAATAAGCGAGTGAATTTACTGAATATTAGTCACAACACAGATCGCACTTGTGCACGCTTTGTGCTTTGCATTTAAGGTCTTTTACAGGAACAAGCTCTCAGGTTATGTCCCATTTACCATGCAGTCAACACGGAGCAACTGTTAGATAGCAAATTCACACTATTTAAACACAATTTACCCTAACTAGGGTCCAGGTCCAGGAAAAAGTAGTCGCTGCTGTATCCTCGCTGAGCCTGAGGTGTGAATAAATCTGTGTGAGCATGTGCTCTGCAATATACTTCCAGGGTCAGGTCCTGGAAGGCTGTCCATACCTCATCCATAACATTTTACCAAATGTACCCTCATGTACTTCTTGGATCTTTTGCATGGTAATTTGTAGATTTCTGTTAGCCTCAAGGAACCATCTAGAAATTTATCTGTAGCTCACTGACTTCTGCATAGAGAAGTGCAGGACTGAAGCTCTTCCAGGTCATTAGTGTACACTTTTCTGGCGGACAAAAGTCTTTACTCTGCTCAGACTTGAAGAGGAATTTTTGGTTACCATGTGGGCACTGCTTACTCGCACCCCACACACTCCCATCTAGAAAGAGCCAGGTTTTCTGAGGTTAAAATTAAAGATTATGGAGGAGTCTTGAGGATAAGATGAACAGTCATCCAATGCTGAACTTGAAGGTCTTCATGACACATTGACTGCCTCAATGGAGCTTGAGACTGTTGCCCAAACCCGTAGCAGTAAGAGAACCAGCTGCAGTCCACGTGGAGCAGATACTTAGCAGAGCTCACCTTTGCTGCAGCCACAGGGCCAGTCCTGTCAAACCACTGCCAGTCTCTGATTAGCTCTTTCCAGTGCTATCCCACAGCTTTTAAGGCGAGATATTTCATTTACTACTGTGGGAGGTTTTATGCCTGGGTCACACACATCAAGAGCCTGCCTGCCACAGGAGCTGCATTAAAATGGAGACTGAGTTTTCTCAAATGCTCGGAGAGCATCTTTTGACCTCTAACTGAAGCTGGACCCCAGCAGGGATAACTTCCTCATAATTCAGGCCTTTTGGGGACTGGGAGATACATTCAATCTAACAAACGTAAAAAGATCATCAAAAGGTGATTGCATGGATCTCAAGAGATCAAGCATTGCCAAACTTTGCAAACGTGCCTCTTGCTCTCTATCAGTTACAGTGGTCAACACTGGAGAGCAGGTTCCCACACTGTCTTCCTATGGATTACAAGAGACTAAAATCTGCTAAAATGGGAACACCTCACTTCTGCTTACACTCTGACCAGCTTCAGAGTAATAGGGGAGCACATCTTTAGAAGGCAGATGGTACTGTCTCCAAAATAACTTGGATGCTGCTGTCTGCTTTGCTTTTTCGAAAAGGAATAAAAAGCCAAGTAAAGGTCTTTAATGGGGCTAGAAACCTAGATCAATGGATACTGGTAATAGGATTTCTTTTGATATTACTAGTGGGTTGTCCCTATATTACTTCTGTGCTCCAAGGCAGTAATGAGAAAGTCTTTCAGTAGAATTTTTTATATACTATTGTTGTTCATTGTTCTCACCTGCTTTGAGACATTCCTGGTGTTTACATCAGAGATGATTAGTCATAATAAATTCCTTCTCTCAGTCAAGGGAAATGGTCACATATATGGCATTGATTCTCTAACTTATCATGGATGTTTGTTTTTGAATCAGAACAATTGCTCTTTTACCTTATTTGAATGTACACATGTTGCAGTAAATGTCTGCTCTTGGTTAGATAAACCCAGTTCTAGCGTTCTAAGAGGAAACTGGTGAGCAATTATTGGTGTAATGCTTACAATCTGTCAGGAAGACATCTGTCCCTCTTATAGTTCTTATGTATCTTTCCTGTCAGTTTTCTTCTCACTTCCCCTATTTCTCCTTTTTCAAAACTGTTTCTAAATTCCAGTGGACATTAACTTAACCTATCACTTATCCATAGCAACTCATACTGCTGAAAGATAATATATGACAATATAATACCAGAACTGAGCACTGTGTCAGATTTTGATCAAAGTCCATTTCCCCTTCAGTGGCAAAAATGAAATTCCCATTGACTTGAGTAGTACCAAGACTTCTTCCTACAGGATTTAGGAAAGAAGTAGTAACCAGGATGCAGATGGTGCACCCAGAGCAAAGTCTGGGCTTTTGCAGCAGTTGCTCGTAGTCCTTGTTGTGCAGGTATGAAGAGGACACATGCCCTGTGGGCTGTCAGCTTCAAACACACTCAACACCGAGGCGCTCAAAGAAGAGTCATAGAAAAGTCAAGTAAAGTGTCTTCTTGCTTTTCTCCACAGTGTACTGACGAAATAGAGTTGATGAAGATCTCCTGCCAGCACTTCCATGAGAAGCTGGATGAGATTGAACGGCACATGACCGAACAGCAGGCACTGTTTTCCAATTATATGCCAGAAGAAGGAAGGTAAAGGCAGTCCCACACATTTAAACCCAAAGCCAACATCAGCAGCAGTGTGTGTGATGTGTCTGGGCACTTGTGTTACTGTAGATTTGCTGATCAGTGGGGTGCAGCTGTGGGCATCATGCAAGTGGAAGAGAAAATTGCTGTGGTTTTTGCTCAGAAGAAAGTCTAACTTTTTTTCTGCATTGTTCAAGCAGTGCATTTTGAAGAAGATTGTTCCATAGATTTAGGCTGGATATATTTTAACAATAGGAATGCAGGAACTGACTTAATTCAGCTCATATTCAAAGTGATTATTGAGAAGTCATAGAATATCCCAGTGCTCAAGTATTCACAGAGTTAGTAGGGGCTTCCAGTCTTGAGCTGCCTCAAAGTGCAACACTTATGCAGGTCTTTATGCTGGTAATAAATCTTAAGAGATGAAATTGCCTAAACTGAGGCTCTGTAACTGCTCTGTGACTGCAACACATTTAACTTGCAAATGGGATAACTGAAGAATGGAGGGCTGATATTGATTGCTTTGCAAATTATTCTGTGATCATAGGTAGAAACAAAATGGCAACAAAGGGGGATATAGGTGTACTGGTGGAGCTAAGGAAGAAAGTGTGCACCGCTCACTGAAGCGTGCTCTCATTGCTGTCTCTACAGGGAGGAAAGCAGAAACCTGCAACGCCTACATCAAGCCATTCGTCAGGAGATGGCAGAGCTGGAACTCTGTCTGAATGATAGAGCTTACCAAGTTGGGGAGGGCATCCTGATGGTATGCTGCACAAGCTCTGGGTCATGTGGGAGAGCTTCCCTGACAAGCCTGGGTTAAAGGGTCAGAAAACAACAGCCACTGTCAGAGGTCCTTTTGCAGATTTTATAGTGTATTTATCTGTAGGAATAAAATGCCCTCTAGGCCTTTCTCCTCCTTTTTCTGGCAGTATCTCACTTGCCAAATACTGCATGTCTTCTTCGAATCAAGCATCAGAGCAGGCATGCTTCATATACTCTTGTGTATCCTGCTTGATTCCTTTTATTATATTTTTATTACTGCAATATGCTTTTCCTTCTATTTTCTCTGCAGCAGCTGGACCAATTACTGGTAGAACAATCCCATCTGTTTTCTGAGCTCGGACTTTCTGATTGGAAGGGAGAAAGAAATGCCCAGAATAAACAAGCACTTCCAGATGCTGCTGGTGCTAGAAGTGGGTGCTCAGAAGGGGTGCCCCAAAGAGCTGCTAGCAAAAACACCACAGCAGCAGGCCTTGTCTCGGCCCTGAAGCCAGAGGCACCCTTAATGCTGCTTCCTACCAGGACAGTGCCTGAGCCAAATTCATCCACACAGGATCTGCAGGAGCCCTCCATCAGTAAAAAAGAAATGAAAGGACCTCCTCAAGCAAAAACCGAATTTAAGGCCTTTATACACAATGTAAGGAGCTGTTTTAGACTTACCCTCAAGGTTGTAAGTGGAAGGGATCACTGAGCCACAATGCAGATTCCCTACGTGGTGCTTCAGTGCCACAGCTTAGATCATGGTCCTTTCCTGCTCAGCACTGCGTTCATCCCAAGGGCTGGAGTCTGTGCTTTGGGGCACTGCCACCCTGCACAGGCTGAGACCATACCTGCCTTGTTATTTCTCTCTAAGCTGTGGCAAACGCTCCAGAGGGAAGAATATATAAATATGTACATGCAGTATGCCTGGCTTGCTTGAACTCTGAGTGCAGCTGTTTGACTAATTAGTATATTCAACCCTCACCCACCATGTGAAATTAGTTATTTATGGCTTCAATTTGCAGAGCCGATTACCTGGCTTTACAAGGGCAGTAAAGGCAGTGAAATGGAAGGCTTGTTGTTTCTCCGGAGAAATTCCAAGTCAGCATTTCTAAATGATCTGATTACAATCAAAAAAGTTGTTTGCTTGCCTTTCTGTGTATAAAATATTTCTAGATAATCTCTTAGCTGCCTTATACTTTAATAGTCTCTTCCAACTAAGTATGTGGTGCAGTTTTTAAGGGACTCATCATTCTCTTAACTGAAAACTTAGGGTCTAATTCTGCATAACACCATCAGAGCTTTGCATTACAATCTTATACTGTTCTGCTGATTTATGTTGGTATTACTACTGGCAATAACAAGCAGAATCAGATTCCTCCGCAAAAAATTCAAAGAATGGGAACCACAGGCAATAAGGTGCAAGGAGCTGAAGTATCTCATGTCATGTTTTGTCATCTTTTGTACCCATTTCCTTTTTACAGTAATCTTGGTCATTTTCTCAACATAACACTTTTTTCATTTTTTTTTTTCTCCAGTTGAAGAAATCTTTCCAAAATCCTTTAGGTAACGATTCAGCAGAAGGGAAAGACTGACGGATGACAGAGTGATGGATTTTGTTTCTAGTAACTGTGGCCTTTCTCCTTCAATGCGTGATGCATCTCAGAAACAAATGAGCAAAACATTGCTTTGTCGAGAGTTCTGATCACAGTAATTTCATTTGCAATGAGATGATTGGCCAGAAACATAGGCACCTTTATGGAATGTCTCAAAGAGAGGTACTGTGTGTTGTGCTATTCTGTGATTGCAGAACTTACTACATTCCCCTCAGCCATCATCTGGAGTAGGGCAGTTCTTTGCAAAGGAGAGAGAGCTTATTTTTAGAAGAAACTTGTGAAGGTCTCCTCACAGCCAATTACTTTAATAAAATCACTGCCAATCTCCAAGTCCAAACTACCTTGCATATAGTCACAGAATCACAGAATCACAGAATCACAGAATTGTAGGGGTTGGAAGGGACCTCCTGAGATCATCGAGTCCAACCCCCCTGCCAAAGCAGGTTCCCTACACCAGGTAGCACAGGTAGGCATCCAGGCAGGTCTTGAACATCTCCAGAGAAGGAGACTCCCCCACCTCCCTGGGCAGCCTGTTCCAGTGCTCCGTCACCCTCACTGTAAAGAAGTTCTTGCTCATGTTTGTGCGGAACTTCCTATGCTCCAGTTTCTGGCCATTTCCCCTTGTCCTGTCTCCACTCACCACTGAAAAGAGTCCGGCCTCGCCATTCTGCCCCCCACACCTTAGATATTTATAGACCTGGATCAGGTCCCCTCTCAGTCTCCTTTTCTCAAGGCTGAACAGACCCAGTTCACTCAGCCTTTCTTCATAGGGGAGATGCTCCAGGCCCTTCACCATCTTCATGGCCCTCCGCTGGACTCTTTCCAAGAGATCCCTGTCTTTTTTGTACTGGGGAGCCCAGAACTGGACGCAGTGCTCCAGATGAGGTCTTACCAGGGCAGAGTAGAGGGGGAGGATCACCTCCTTTGACCTGCTGGCCACGCTCTTTTTAATGCACCCCAGGATGCCATTGGCCCTCTTGGCCACAAGGGCACACTGCTGGCTCATGGCCAACCTGTCGTCCACCAGGACACCCAGGTCCCTCTCCGCAGAGCTCCCCTCCAGCAGCTCATCCCCCAACCTGTACTGGTGCATGCAATTATTCCTCCCCAGATGCAAGACTCTACACTTGCTTTTGTTAAACCTCATCCGTTTTTTTTTTGCCCAGCTCTCAGCCTGTCCAGGTCTTGCTGAATGGCAACACAGCCTTCAGGCTGTCAGCCAATCCTCCCAACTTCGTATCATCGGCAAACTTGCTGAGGGTGGCCATTATCCCCTCATCAAGGTCATTGATGAAGATGTTGAACAAGACCATAGTCATAGCCCCTTTCTAGCTTTTAACTAGCTATTAAAGTCTAATTTGCCTCTGACTAATTTGATGAGTTTTGTATCTATTCTCAGTACCAAATCAGAAGCATACCTACAGTGTACAAGACCTTAAACACTCATGCTGTCAAAACATTACTGTGGATCATACACTGACTGTCCTGTTCATTTTCATATTTATTTCACATAAATCTAATTAAATAAAATGAGATTAGAAACACAGGATTTACTACACTATAAAACTTGAATCACAATCCTAGTTTAGTTTTCTGGAGAGTGAGCAAAGCCTGGATTCATTTAGGAAAAAAAAAGAAAGAAAAAAGAAAAAAGGAAAAAGAAAATAAAAAGACCTCTCTGATTTGGAGTACAGAAAAGAAATCCAACTAGTTCATTTTCAAAGCAGTTTGTGCTCCTGCTTTCAGTTTAGCGCTTCCCAGACTGTGAGACGCCCTACTGGCTTGTTTATTTAATGCTCTGGAGGGATCTTAGGTGTCATTTAGGCTTTGGTGTTGCAAATCACAGCTCTGCGAAGGTGCAAATAGAAGGAGCATTTGCACATGTTCAAGGAGAAAATTGAGTCAAACATGCTGAGCAGCCTGGAGGCTTCCTGCACCTCCACGTTTCCACAGATGTTCAAGGTAATAAAATGATTGGGGGAGAGAAGTTCATAACACATGAACCAACAAGATCCTCCACAGCCTGCTGGGCCATGAATTTTACTGGTTGAAATCTGCCCCTTTCTTGAAACCCCACATGGGATTTGTACATCGCTTCCATGCTATCAAATGTTTAGGAGTTTTATATGGCAAGATTTGCCACTAATTCCTTTGAAGCTGCTGGGATTTATCCAGATAGGACCAAAATAACCTTCATCTCCACTTATGAACTGTACTTGTAGACGTCGTACTTCAGTTTGTAAAGAAGGGCACGTAAAGAGCACAGAGAAGGATATACAATCATGCCTGTGCCAAAAGGCTCCTGGAAGAAAGGGCAAAGAAGTTTCCTTTCTTCACCAGCACTGGGGCTTTGATTCCTCCCATGAAGCAAGACTTTTTTTGTGTGTTTCGAGGCAGCATGCTAAGTTAAAGCTGTATATGGATGTAATGCTACAGCCACTGCGTGCCTATCTTACAGACATAAGGTATCCATACCACATTATGTGAATAGGTGCTGGTATTGGTAGGTGACAGCTATTCTTCATCACAGGTCCTCTGATGCCATGTGAAATTCACCATCTGTGTTCACAATCAGGACTGAACGTGACTCCTGTTAGCAGAACTTTCCTGTTTGAATAGTTTCTAGATGACTGGCACGTGCAGTCCAGTTCCTCATGTCAATTTAGTTGTAAAACATGCAAGCTGTGGGGGAATAGGGTTCCCCCAAACGCAACACTTTGACATCCATAAATACATTATTTCCTTGGTCAGGCTTGGATTTAAAGGTAGAGAAGCCTTTAAGCATATGTGTTTTTAATAGTTAAGCTGTAATCTCACAGCAATAAAAAATATGCTAAGCAATGGAAAGGGGAAAAGTCTTTTGACTTATCTTAGAGTATAACTTCAAAACCCCTTTGAGCATGTTACAGGGACATCTGGATTGAATTTCTTAATGCTGCTGTTGAAGATGTGGGAAAGAAGAAAACAATAATTTTGGGATCGGGAGAGTATGGAGTATCCTTGGTGAGCAAAACAACCCAGATGCATGCCTGCTTTTCCTTACAGTCACAGTGCTACCAGCCTTTTAAATTCTCCTCTTTCCCCTTAGGGCAGTCATAAGTAAATATGATGGGAATCTTAAAAATAATTCCACAGAATTAATGAAATATTAAAATATCTGATTCAGTAACATTATTGTGCTCACTCGTGAGAACCATAGCTTGCAGGCTTACAAGGCAGCAGGTTTTATCTTGGTGGGGGCTACGCTGCTTGTGAAAAGCATCAGTGCTGAGCAGTTTGCATCTGAAATCTGAAGAAAACTGACCCTGTGACACTGCAGGACTTCTGGGTTAAAAAATAATAATAAAAAATAGTTGGAGAAATTGCAGTAGTAGCAGTATTTGAGCTAAAGACTGCTTTCGTCCCAGTTCTGGTACTCACAACTGCAATGGCTGAACCATTGGCCCTGTTTCAGGGAACTGCTAAGGCTCCACGGTTGTCCAGGCTTCAACGTGCTATGGAAATGGCAAGATGGATAGGGGTGGACACTGCTGTGTTACAGAGGTGCTGCTTCTCCCAGTTCTCCAGCCCTCTTTCAGCATCCCTAGATCGCTGAGATCCTAAAACTGTCATCTCAAATCCTTTTCATTCCATTAAGAGCTTAATGCCTCCTTCACTCTGTTAACAGTTTCTGGAATGCAAGGGCCACATATTGCCTCACCAAAGCACATTATAGGGAAGGGGGAGATTAAAAAAAAATAGTAATAAAGATTCCCTAACAAAGGTAGAAAATCACCCACCCTAGTTCAGTAACAATTCATGTGACTTGAATTTTGCTTCTTATGTCATTGTCTTTTGCCTTCATTGGTTTTCCCTGATGCCCCATAAATCTTCAAACCCTGAAGCTAAAAAAGACTGCACTGTGCACCAGCTTTAATACTGATTTTGCTAGAGAGTATAAAATCTAGAGAGATAATGAGGAAATTCATCTGAGGTGCCCTGCCAAGGGCTCCCATTAGTCGCTTTACCAGGCATCAATTCAATAAACCCTTGAGAGCGACACATGAATAAACATTAGAGCCTCCCTGGTATGTTAATGCATCAGTTGCCTGATTGTCACTGCTGCCAACAGACTCCAGGAAAAGAAGCATCTTGGGAGCTCAGCCCCTTCCAACTTCAAGTTCAAAGTAGGTTTGACACCACCTTAGGAGAAGACAAGGCTCAGGAGAGCAGTGTGATGGCCCAATAAGACGGCACAGCTGCTTTCAGGAGCAGTGACCTCACTTGGATGCAACGTCCAGACCTGTCCAGCCTGGGTCTGCTATCCAATACTGTGTCTGCTGTGTCAGATCCATGCTCGTTCCCATGCAGGAATGGAGTTCGTGTTTGAACAGAAAGTCTCAAATACTGACCCAGCAATAGGAACTGAGCTGCTTAATGCGAATGACTTTCTCTTGCAAGGCTACTAGATAGTCCTCGTCTTATTCCTGGCTATACCATGTGCTCTGTGTGACCAAGGCCTTTTTCTTTACCCAGTGGGGGTCTTTATTCTCTTCTTTCTGTCTCATCTAACAAGGTTTTAAATTTCTCAAGGAGAAGTTATTCCTTCATAACCTGTCCACAAAGAGCTGGGCATAGTGGGGACAAAGTATCAGTTGGGACCTCTGCTTGCTGCTGCAGTAGCTGTATGAGGCTGCCTTTCATTAAGATCCATTGGTATTTAAGAAGCAGCTGTGGTGTCACTTCATAGAACTGTTGACCGTTTTAACTTCCTCTTCTCCAGAAGCAAGGTTTTGATCTTCCTTGTAGAAATGGACACAGACAAAAGCCTGAACAAACTGGCAATTTTCTTATGAAATGGGAAAGCTCAGAATCTGAGATCTCCAGAAATCAAAAGAACATGAAACAACAGTATTCTCACTTCACCAGAGAGGTGCATTTGAATTCATCTGTCTTCATTTCATTCTTCTCCATTGTCTTTTCTTGGGCGCATCATTCACTCAATTAGCACAGATCACAGCCAGTAAGGGACACAGGTGTGTCCCACTGAGGCAACTCAACCTTAATATGGAAAACATTTATTACCATGACAAATAATGCAGAACATTGGCACCATTTCCCTGAAATTATAATTTTCCCATTAAAAAATAAATAAATAAATAAAGCCTGTTAAGAGAGAAGTGCTTGCAGTGGGGAGGTAAGAAGGACAAGAGACAGTCTGGAGCTAAGGAGATGTTTATCTTTTTCCTCCACTTTTTATCCCAAGGGAGCATGAGGGCTCCCTGGGGTCCCACCTTAAGATGCTGACACACTTTTATCCCTTGCCTGCTGCTGGCAAGCTCTGATCCTGTCACCTGCAAAAAGATTTTATAAATGCATACAGGGGTGAAATATTCTCCTCCTTCTGTGCTCTCTGCTTGGCCAGCT